CATTGTGTTTCTGCTGGCATTCTGAGCTCCTAGGCAGCCACCCAGCTAGCTTTCTTTTTCAGCATGATTCTCCAAACTTTTCTCAATATCAGTTTCCAGAGGTTTAAAGACAACAAGGTTTACTCAAAACAATTGCCCACTTCTTTTAATCCTAATATTCTATGTCAGCTTTTTGTCCCTGTGTCAAAATAACCAAGTGAAGCACCTTAAAAGGAGGAAGGATTTATTTGGGTCACAGTTTCATCCATCATGGTAGGAAGGGCAGAACAGAGCAAGCATGGCAGCTCATTATGACGGCCAGGAATCGAAAAGAGAATGCTTGCACTCCATTTGTCAGTGTTTACTTTTGTTTCCTATGCTTTGGCCTCCAACCAAGAAAATCATTCCCTTCCCCTATCTGGAAGTGTTTCCCTACTAATTTTCTGAAATTTTTGACTTTCATCTCTTATAATAAGGTTTTGGGTCATTTTGAGTTGATTTCTTTTGGACAGAATGAAAAATACAGGTCAAGTTTCAGTCTTCCACATTTGCATATCCAGTGTTCCTGGCACCATATGTAGATGAGGCTGCCTTTTTCCTCGTGTACATTTTAGCACCTTTGAGACAAATCAGCTGGCTGTAGATGTAGATGCCTGAGCTTTTCTACATTCTTTTTTCTGTCTCACTGGTTTATGGGTTTGTATTCATGCCTACTGTGTTTTTGTTACTATGATTCTAATATGGTTTGAAATCAGAACTAGTGATCGCTCTGGTTTTGCTCTTTTTGGTTATGGTTATTTTGGCTATTTGGACTCCTTTATGCTTTCATATGAATTTAATGTTGCCTTTTGCTTCTGTATAGAATGTCATTGAAATTTCTATGGAGATTACATTCACTCTTTAGATTACTTTGAGCCTTATGGGCATAGAACAGTAAACCAGTCTTTCTAGTCCACATGAATAGGAGACATACCTTTAGCATCTTCAGTTTCTTTCATCAAAGTTTTACAATTTTTATTATATAAGCCTTTCACTTCCCTAGTTAAGTGTGTTCCTTGGTAGTGTGTCCATCTGTGTTTCTTGTGAATGCTTTTATGATTTCTTTCTTGGCAAATTCATTAGTGTTTATAGAAAACTATACATGAGTTTTGTATGTTGTTTGTTTTCTTCTGTTTTTTTTCTTTTTGTTCCTTATAATCTAACTGATGTTGCTGTGGATTAGAAACAACTTTCCATATTTATTATTTTTTATTATTTAGTCACTGGATTGACCCAGAACCAGGAGTGTGCTGGAGCTGCTTCTGTTCTGATTGCTTTCAGTTATGATGGTTCTTTTGGAGTCATCATGGTTTGTGGCTCTAGACTCATGTCAGCTGTAAATGGATAATCTGATGTCCTCCTTTGCTGTTCCTTGTATTTCCTTTTCTTGCCTCAGTGTGCTAAATTGCTTATTGCTAACATATCTAGTATTCTATTTAATAAGATCACTGAGGGTGGACACACTTGCCTTATTCCTTATCTTAGAGGAAGTGCTTTCATTTTTTTCCACATCCAATTTGTTCTTGGCTGTTGGTTTACTATATATATCCTGCGCTTTTTTTTGCGGGGGTGCTGGGGCGGTCCGGTCGTGGGGCCTGAACTCTGGGCCAGGGCGCTGTCCCTCAGCTCTTCAGCTCAAGGCTAGCGCTCTACCACTTGAGCCACAGCGCCACTTCTGGCTTTTTTTTCTTTTTGCTTATGTGCTGGGGAATCGAACCCAGGGCCTCAGGCATGCAAGGCAAGCGTTCTACCACTGAGCCACCTTCCCAGCCCATATCCTGTTTTATATTGAGATACAATTCTTTTTTTTTTTTTTTTGGTTGGTCATGGAGCTTGATCTCTGGGTGCTGTACCTCAGCTCTTCAGCTCAAGGCGAGCACTCTATTACTTGAGCCACAGCACCACTTCCAGTTTTCTGGTGGTTTATTGGAGATAAGAATCTCACAAATTTTCCTGCTTGGGCTGGCTTGAACTTCCATCCTCAAATCTCAGCCTCTTGCATAGCTAGAATTACAGGCACAAGCTCTTGGTGCCTGGTGAGGTGCAATTCTTTTATACCTAATTATTTAAGAATTTGATCCTGAAACAATGTTAATTTTTAGCAAATACATTTTGTGCACCTTTTAATTTTTTTGTGGTGCTCAAGATTGGATTGAGAGACGTATACATGTTTTAGCATCTGTTGAGATGATCACATCATTTTTCCCTAACATTGTATTAATTTGCATATTGTGTTTTTTTAATCTGGATTTATTGAACTATATTTATATCCTTTAATGAGGCCACTTCATGATCTTTTAAAAAAGTTTCTGAATTTGCATGCATTTGTAGTATGAGGGAATTTTGTGATCTTTACACACATACACACTGTGCATGGAACAAAACTGAACAAATTAACCCCCTCCAACCATATTCCCATTATTTTTATGCTGGTCAGTTCTACTTACTAGTAATGTGTTGAATGCTTACACTCATGTTCATCAGGAGTATTGACCCATAATTTCTTTTGTTGTTTATATTTCCATTCTGTTGTGATCAGAAAAGATGCATGGTATGATTCCAGTATTTTGAATTTGTTGACTTATTTTGTGGCCTAATTTATGTTGCATTCTAGAGAAAATTGCACGCACTGATATAAATAGTGCTGTGTTCTTCAGCATTTGGATAGATGACTAAGTACACTTACTCTATAGTATAGCTTAATTCTTATTTTTTGAAGGTCTGGGTTATCTTTTCATAATGAGAATGCAGTATTGGAATCCTAAACTTTCATTGTACCAAAGCCTACCTCTTCCTTTATTTCTAATAGCTTTTTTTTTTAAGTGGGTAATCTGACATTAGATTTATATACATTTATAGTCATGTATTTTTGATGAATTGATACTCATTATGTAGTAACCATTTTTGTTCTTATACTTTGTCTTTGTTATATAATTAATGCAGCTAGTCCTTTTTGCCTTAGTATTCCATTGTTTCAAGTATTGTTTTCCAATCTTTCACTGTGTGACCTCACTGGTTAGATAATGTATTCTTGAAGGCAGCATATTTTTGTGCACTGTTTTTTAATTTATTGAACCAGTCTATTTATATTTTTATCATTTATTTAGTCTGTTTATTTAATCATTAATATCCAGATGGTTTATTATATTGGTAATATTTGAATTTCATGGTTCACCTCTTTAGATATATGGATACTGGATCATTTAATAGTGTTTCAAAGATCATAAGTAATCTCTTCATTCCTTTTTTCTTTTTTTCTATATCAGTGTGATATTTCAAAAGTGTGATATGTCTCAAGCTCTATTAGACATTCCTCTATATAATCTAGTTTATTGTTGAGGCTTTCAACTGAGTTTCTGAGATCTGATTATTTCTTTTTGTAAATATGTCTACCTCTGATAACTTTCTCACTCATATCCAGCATTACCTTCTGAATTCAACTATTTATCTTATTTTAAAAATATTCAGGAGGCTGAGATCTGAGGATCACAGTTTGAAGCCAGCTCAGGCAGGAGACTCTTATCTCTAATTAACCACAAAAAGCTAGAAGTAGAGCTGTGGTTCTATTGGTAGAGCGCTAGCCTTGAGAAAAACAGCTCAGGGACAGTGCTTAGGCCCTGACTTGAAGCCCCAAGACCACACAAACATAAAATTAATTTACTTGAATTCTTTATCAGGCACTTCAGTGTCTTTGGAACCTGATCTTTAGGAAGCACTATAGTAATGGTTTCCTCATATTTCTTGTGCTCCTATGTCGAGATTTGATCATCTGGAATCTATATTTCTTATGTGATGGCCTTTATAGTAAGTGGATTTCTCCTGAAGATGTGTGTTGGAATATTGGTTTGTTTTCCATGTTGAGTATGTTTCACTGTATAATCCCCTTGTGGGTTCTTTGCCTGTGATAAATGAGATCTGGACACAGCATACTGTGCTGTTGTTGAAGTGGCCCAGTGTTGTTGTGGACACGGTGTTTCACAGTGGTGTGAGGTAGACTGCAGAGCATGTGGAGTACACCTTGAGTAACTACTACACGTACAGTGGGAGTGGTGGCTTCTGCGGGGTCAGAACTTCTTCCAGCACTGTTGAGACCAGCCTTTCACCAGTAATGGTTCCATCACTGGCTACCGCAGGAGAGATCAGGAGAGGCCTGGGCACTTGTCCTGTGAGCAGACGGTGGCGTGGGCCAGGTGCTGCCCAGCAGGAGTGGGGTAGGAATCAGCACCCGCAGTGTAGTGCTCCCTCCTAATCTTCTCAGCAGCATGTGCTCGGACATCATTGGGCTGGAGGAGGGAGGCCCTTGAGAGAAGTGTGAGAACAAGGCCGGGTCTGGGTGACGTTTCTCTCTGGACCTTCTTAGGCATTTATGATGCTGACTGAAGAAAATATGGGAAAGTCTCAATTACCCAACGGCCTTGTTGGCAGGCATGAGCATATAGCACTGAAATTGCAACTGTCTTTTATTTTTATTTTTTCTTTGTGATTTGATAATATTTCATAAGTAAGAGGCAAGTAAGTTCACAAGTTAAGAACAGCGCTTTGACAACTGATTTGAGAAGAAAGTATTTAAAATTCTTTGATAAACCTCTTGGACCATGGAAATTTCTGCTATTGTTTTCTGGCAGTTCTTTTCAATGTATTCTGTACCTTGAATACTTATATAGTTTTAACTGTCATGTTAAATTATACCCATATCATGATTTCCAAAAGCCTATGCTTCTCTTCTTTTTGCTGTCTTTGATACCCAATTTAAATGGCTACAGATGTGCTTCAGACAAATGCCTAAGAATTTATTTCCATTATGAAAAACTGGTGTCTTATTAGATGGTTGGTAAACTTATTTACTGGCTGGCTTTAAGTTCATGACCACAAAGCCCAGCCTGTATTGTAATTCTTGTGCACCATCATCCAAAACATCTTTCTGGCACTGTTTAATATATTTTACTATTGGCTTAACTTTGTTCTATATTTTGTACATATAGGAACTTTCAAGAAACCTTGAGCTGAGTACAAACAGTTTTCAACGTCAGCTGCTTGCTGAGAGGAAAAGGGCATATGCGGCTCACGATGAAAACAAAGTTCTACAAAAGGAGCTGCAAAGGCTGTACCACAAACTGAAGGTAAACTTTTGATGTCAAATGGCATAGTTTTCCCACCATGTAAGTTACATAGAAACCTGGTATTCAAAAACACTATTCACATTTGCAAGTTTATATAATACAATTTACAGAATTCTAATGTTATCTTTGGTATTTAGAAGAAATGATTTGTTAGTATAATCACTATTACAAAGCGAAGTATCATGTAGCAACAAGACAAATGTAAGGGGAAATTCTGGAGGAAATTATAGGAACTATCTGGGGGCAGTGGCTCACACTATAATCCTAGCTGCTGAGGAGGCTGAGATCTGAGAACCATGGTTCAAAGCCAACTTGGGTGGGAAAGTCCATGAGATTTTTATCTTATTCTTATATCTAACTTAGTCTTATTTCTAGCAAATAGCTAGAAGTGGAAGTGTGGCTGAAATAATAGTGCACTAGGGTTGAGCAAAAGAGTTTAGAGACACACTCAGGCCCAAGCACTAGCAAACAAATAAACAGAAAAATACCTCAAAGGAACTGGAGTTTGTGTTGGATGAATGAATAATCTGATGTCCTTCCTCAGATGTGATTATATTTAAAGTTGTTTAAGCATGTCCTTCATTTTCATTGTTGCTAAAAAAGTATTCATATCAGTCAATTATGTTAAGGCAAGTATTCTTAATTTTATCTAGAGGTCATTGATGGGTGAAATTTTATATAGAATTACACAAAAGTATGCACTACTTTATATAGCTTTCTTCTTTTCAGGGTCATGTGCTTGCTAGACAAGCGCATTTTTCTCTTTTTTTGCAGGTCTTGGGGCTGTCCCTGAGCCTCTTTGTGCTCAAGGCTAGGGCTCTTCTTTTTCTGAGTAGTTTATTGGAGATAAAAGTCTCATGGGGACTTTTCTGCCTGGGCTGGCTTCAAACGGTGATCCTCAGATTTTTCAGCCTCCTGAGTAGCTAGGATTATAGGCCTGAGCCACTGGTACCCGGCTAGGCAAACACTTTAATACTTGAATCACACCTCAGTTCTCTCGTAAACTTTTAGACAGAGTCTCACACTTTTGTTGGGACCAGCTTTTAACCATTTTCTCCAGCCTCCCATCTAGTTGTGATTATAGACATGAGATAGGGTCTTGCCAACTATTTTGCCCCACAAACTATAATCCTCTACCTCCTCAGTAGCTGGGATTACAGATATATGCCACTATACCTGGCCAATGTCTTCCATAGATTTTTTTTCCTGTTAATCCAATTCTTAGAAAAAGTCATAGCTCCCAAATGCTAAAGCACACCAATGTTTAACGCCATGGCAAATTTCCTTGGGGGTGAGGGGTGTGTGTATAACTATGGTTTGGCCTGAGACTTGTTAGGCATACTTGTTAGGCAAGTGCTCTATCACTTTTTGCTTAAGGTATTTTTCCAGTAGGGTCTCAGGTTTCTGCCTGAAGCCAGCCTTAGACTAAGGTCCCAGCTATGCCTTCTCGGCTATGCCTTCTTGTGTAGCTGGCTGGAATCAGAAGTGACTCAACGCACCCAGCCTCTCATTTTAAAATCCTCAATCACTGAGCAGTCTCATTAAGAGATGCTAACTCATTCTTTGTCTCTGACTAAGCCTGGGTGATAGTGACAGAATTACTAGCTTTATCAGGTAGGAGTGTGGAAACTAAAATCTATTTTATTCTTATTTGCTCTCTCCTCCATATACCCCATTTTTTCCTCCCCTTCCTCCCCCTCCCCAGAAGTGGTAGGACCTGTAGCCTTTCTTTACAGGGAAGTCATTGTCTCTCTTAATCCAAGGGTACTGGAGACATTTCTTTCTGTGGTTTGGTAATTACACAGGGAAGTTGAACTCAGTATATTTCCATTTGGCAAGAAAGTTGTCAGTCAGTTGCCTAAGTGAAGGTCATTTATTTTAAGCTGAAATTCTACTTGCTTACATTGTATTGGGTTTATGTTTAGGAAAAGGAGAGAGAACTGGAGAATAAAAACATATATTCTAACCGTCTGCCCAAGTCCTCTCCAAAGAAAGAAAAAGAACTTGCTCCAAGAAAAAATGGTATGGTAGCTACTATATTAAGACAACAATATTATAACTATAGTATAGTATGGGTTATAAGTATTACAGCTATTATTTATTAATATTGTAAAGTAGAATGCAGAATCTCATAAAAATATATAAATTACTTTTTTTACAATTTTAGTTTTTTATAATCTTTAGAAGTCTTTCAGTTTTTGTAAGTTTTAACACATGAAGAAATGTGGTTAGAATCATGTTTTGAATAACTTAAAAAAATTCCTACTGTGATTTTGAAAACCCTTATGAAAATATATAAACATACACAATAGAGTTAAGGATTCAATGAACTTCCACTTAAACATTGCCTAGATTACTCTTTTTGGTAATTTCATTTATTTTTCTTAGTTTTGATATTGTGTTTCTCAGGAAATCACAGGTATTATTTCACTCATAAATATTTTATTTTATGCAAATAGCTTTGCTCTATTTTTGGCAAAGTACAATCATTCTAGGAATTGCACAATTTTTAAATATAAACTTTGTAAAAGTGTAGGGCCATTTAAAGGAAGAATTGCTCCCAAATCATACATACCTGCTAGTAAATCCCAGACACAAAAATGAGTGTTTACTGAGCTGAGTCAAAAGTACATCAGTTTATTTAGATGATGAGCTTATGCCAGTTGAATAAATGTTAGCAGTGTTGAATGAGATAAAAAAACTTCTTTTCCAATTTTCATGGTAGTCGCATGCCAGAGTGATTTTACAGACCTGTGTACAAAGGGAGTACAAACCACTGAAGATGGACAGGAAGAATTTTCTATAATACCACAGACAATTATGGATTTCGAAAACAAACAGGAGGAATCAGAACATCATTCTTTGGTGAGTGCAGCAGTATGATTTTCTGCCCAACTTTATAGGTTTAGGTTTAAAGTTATTCCTAAAAATGGTCTTTCAGACTTGGTACAGTTTTAGCAGTGGAAGTAGTGCTGTATCTTTGTAAATATTCAGATATCCTTTTAAAAAGAAACTCATCTGTATATTTTGTTAAATTTTTAGGATTTACTCTTTTGGTTCATGTTGCATTTTTCAGCTGCTTCAGAGACTGGTTATGCTTTCTACTAGGTTGGAGGTAAAAGACAAGAATTTGCTTTAAAAGGTTACCTTTTATTCAGCTAGACAGTCTTAATTTTCAAAGTTCTGTGTTTAATAGGAAATGCTGATCATTTTCAAATCATTTGTAAGGAATTTACCCAGATTTAAATTTTTGGCATTCTACATGGGAAAAATCTTATACATTGAATAAATAAATTTTATAGATTAAATGAATGCTAATCTGAATGTGTACCATTTTAAGTGGAGTGTATTGTACCATTTCAAGAGGGGTATATATTGTACCCTTATTGAAAAGGAGTTTCAATACCATGTCTCTGTAAATTCATGTTAATCAATAGATGCAATTTAAATTTCAAAGAAAACATTTCTTTCTTTTTTTTTTTTTTTTGGTCAGTTGTGGGGGCTGAACTCTGGTCCTGGGTACTATCCCTCAGCTCTTCAGCTCAAGACTAGCTACCTACCACTTAAGCCACAGTGCCACTTCCGGCTTTTTCTGCTTATGTGGTACTGAGGAATTGAACCCAGGACCTCATGCATGTGAGGCAAACACTCTACAGTGAGCTACCTTCCCAGCCCCAAAAGTGGTCTAATATATACACACACACACACACACACACACATATACATATACATATATATATATATACATATATATATATATATATATATATATATATATAATATTTGTTTTTTTGTACTAGAAGATTCAGAGCCAGCACCCTGCTGGAAAGAGTGTGGTCTTAGACTTGGCTCTGCTTTTTCATCGAATCCAGGTGCCAACATTTCAGTGGTGTGAATTTTTGGGGCCTCAATTTCCTCATGTGTAAAGGGTGGTAATTAACCATGAAGTTTCTAAAGCTCCTCAGAAACCTGAATGAAAATGTCCTCAGCCAGTGGAAGCCCAGAGTCCAGTTCATTCTGCAATTAGAAAGACCTCCAGTATGGGGACTGAGATAAGAAAAGATTCTTCTTGTAATGGATAAAATCAGTGTGTAGTCCAGGGCTGGCGAGCAGCTTTGCTTCATTGTGGTCATCCTCTGTTTTGTTGATCTTCCATTTGGGACTGTAGCCTTCATGTTTGTGGTTGGAATGGCTTCACCTCTCTGTGAACAAAGGAAACGAGGAAGCAGTGGGCAAGCTGTGCTTAGAAATGTGATCTGGAGTTGCATCTGCACTTCCACCCACCTTGTCCTGGTCCTGTCTAGCTGCAGGGGTGGCTGATAATGGCTCTATCTGAGCAGCTGTGTGCCCTTCTTAACTAACACAGGGTATTCTGTTTCTAAGAGGAAGAAAATGAAACCAGATACCAGGGGACAATACTATGGAATCTTTACAACAATCCATGCTTTATTTTTATTAAGGAAAATCACACCAGAGATATTTGCAAGGAACCATAATAAACTTAAAATTCCTTATTATTTATGGAATTTTAAGTATGTAGCATCCTTTCTTGATTTAAATATTATAGAACTTCATTACTTGGAGACTTTGGACATAGTGTAGACTTGAACAGCTCAGTTCAGCTGTCACCAGCTGTATTACATGTTTCTTCAGCTTCTCTTCTTCAGCCATTTCTGGTTAATTTGATTAGCCAGATTGTGACATTTGCCCAAAGAAACAGCTCTTCTGCAACTTATCTTCAGAAATTTGTGTAGGTTGTTGGTTTTATTTCCACTATTGTGGCTCTGATGTAGTTCATAAATTCTTGTTTAAATTTTTAACTAGAAGCGCCATTTGCAGCAGAAGAACATGTGATTTGATTTGTTGCTTTATTCACTGAAAATTGGCTTTAATTTCTAATTTGATATTTCCTCTTCCCCTATGTGTGGATTTGCATTTAAAAATTCACCATAGACTCTGGAGTCCCCAGAGCAAGAGGAACACAAGGAACCCACCGTTCTGCCTTCACCGGTAGAGGAAGAAGAGTCTGGTGAAGATCAAGGAGAGCCCATCGTAGAGCAGGAGGAGGAAAAGCTGGAGAGTGGTACGTAATAGAGTTGGTTTACACGGGCTGTGAGTCCCTGGATAAAGGAAGGGTCAGGACCCCTTGATGTCTTCCCACTAAACTGTAAATTGTTTGTGCAGAACAAGAAAAGGCAAGTGCAGTTGTAGGAAGCAGTGTATCAAGAGTCACGAACAGGGCTGGGAAGGTGGCTCAGTGGTAGAGCGTTTGTCTTGCATGCATGAGGCGCTGGATTCGATTCCTCAGCACCACATAAGCAAAAAGGAAAAAGCTGGAAGTGGCACTGTGGCTCAAGTGGTAGAGCGCTAGCCTTGAGCTGAAGAGCTGAGGGACAGCGCCCAGGCCGAGTTCAGGCCCCATGACCGGACCCCTCCCAAAAAAACCGTCACGAACATTTGAACAAATTACAAGTTCAGGTAGATAAGTTCCACAAAGACACAACTTAGATAAAAGGGAAAAATATGCTTTGGTTTTAAGTAAAACTTGAAGAAATAATTGGAGGACAGCTGCTGTTTGGAGCTTGGCCTTGAAGCTGTAGTCCACAGACCAGCTTAAGCTGAAACATCAGAGAGTTATGTTGTCCTGTATACATTCATATCATTGTTCTTTGATTTTACCTTATAAACTAAATCTTTAATATGTTCAGCATTAATGTAAATTCAGTAAGCCAATTCACATAGTTTGTAGATAATGGAAATGAACTTTAGGACTAAGTTTATTTCTGTCTGGACAGAATGTCTTACAAGCATGAGCAAGGGATCCCAGACTCTACCCTGTTGAATGTATTAGTTGCACAGGGGACTATCAGTTATCATGTATATAATTAATGTATATAGTGTGGATGTATAATCATGCAGTATAGAACTATACTACATCCCGCTTAAAGAAAAATTTTTGTTGTTGTTTTGAGCTGAAGTTCATGGACCATAAAATTATAACCATTGTTGCAAAGATATATATGTATGTGTGAATGATCATGGATGTTTAAACACAGTATAACCTTGAAATAGAAGCTAGGTATTTACATTATCACCCTTGGCTAATGTATGAAACAGGATGGTTTCATGTGTTACACTACTACAGAAAAGAAAATTAGGGATTAATGCTCAATTTTTTCTAGGCAACAGGAAAAAAAATAAAATAGCAGACGACCATCACTTATCTTTGTGCTTTTAAGTGACTTTTTGTGGTGTGTGTATGTGTGTCTGTGTCTGTGTGCATGTGCATGTGTGTGTGCTCATGCACACCAGTCCTGGTGCTTAACCTCAGGGCTTCTTTACTGAAGGCGAGTGCTCTAACGTAATCCACAGAGCCTCCTGAGTAGCTAGGATCATAGGTATGAGCCACCAATGCCTGGCCTGACCTCTTTGTTTTTGTTTTCGGAGACTGTCTAGATCTTACATTAGTGAGAATGTTTTTGTGTTACTGAAATTAGGAGATTTGTAGTGTTCTGACATAGTTGATAGTTTTAATTTGTTTGGAAATAACTTCAAAATTATAGAAAAGTGGCAAGAATAGTACACAACTATTTAAGAATGAATTATACTTGTGCCCATGTCCTTAAATACTTCCATGTATTGTTCTCCCAAACATAGTCATTCTCCTACCATCATTCCAGTATAATTTTCAAATTCAGGAAGTTTAACTTTGATACACTGCATTTAGCTATATCCATATTGTAGACACAATACTGCTACTTGTAGTGTTTTCTCCCTTCTAGAAAACATTATAAATCATGTTTCATTTTTATATCTCTCCAGTCTGTAGTCTAAGAGCAGTTTCTTGGTTTTTATTTTTATTTTGTGAGATTAACATTTTTTATTATTTCAGATGCATGTTTAAAAATAGAATATTCTGCATTTAGAGTTTGAAGTTTTCTGTTAAATTTTAGTTACTGTATCTGCTGCCAGAATATTGCATGAAGACTGCCATATCTTTCTCAGGACATGGCATCTAGAGGTTAAGTATAATAGTCTTTAGCCATCCATCCATCAATTCATGCATCCATCCTTCCCACAACCCATCAAAATATGTACAGCATTATATTTGTTGTTTAAAAAATAGTGACCCTATCTAGTATTGAAGAATTTTTCCCTGTAAAAGTGGATCTTAAATGCAAGATGTATTAAATATTATTCCTTAATCCCAGAGTATGAAGTACAGAAATGAAATATTAAGTACATCCTCACTGTACTTATAATACCCAAGTTACATTTCAAAATGTTAATTTGTGAAAGATAGGAATTGACTTTTCCTTTTTAGCAGTAGTTCTATAAAAATCTATGAAATTTTATTTCATATAGAATGGGTGAGAGAAGAGGTTGACAAAAAACAAGATGAAAAGATACCTTTACTAGAAACAGAAGAAAAGCCAGAGTTGGAAACTGGACAGTGCCAAATGGAAATATATCAGCTTCAACAGGTGGACAAATTGGAAGAAGAGGAAGAAGAAGTCAAGAGGGAAATGTTCTTTGTTAAACCGAATGAAATCAACAAAGAACTCCAAGATTTTCAGACCCGGAAATATCATTCTGCACCCTTGTTCCCTGAGTTGGAAACAAAACTGCGCGCCCTGGTGAGAAGCACTAAAGCAAACATGTCCCCTGAGCCCTCTGAGAGATCGTTCAATGGACATCATTTGCAGGACATCGGCTTTGCAACACCAAAAGGAGATGCTCTGAATTCAGGAAACATTAGAAGTCCAGCATCTCCAAATGACTTTTCATTTGGGAGTTACGTGCCTTCATTTATAAAAATGTCAGGGAAGTCCAATCCGTGTAGCCAAAAAAGTAGCCTTGTAGATTTCCCAAAAGACAACACAGATAACTCCAGTAAAGATGGTGTGGACTTAATCGCAAGAAAGGAGAGAAAAACTAACTTGATGGAGCAACTATTTGGCACCCCATGTAGCCAAAAAAGTAGCCTTGTAGATTTGCCAAAAGACAACATGGATAACTTCAGTAAAGATGGTGTGGACTTAATCGCAAGAAGGGGGAGAAAAGCTAACCTGATGGAGCAGCTATTTGGCACTAGTGCCAGCAGTGCCATTTCCTCAAGGGGCAGCGACCCAGGCTCTCTGCCTACCAGCAGAGGGGACTGTGACCCTCTGAATTTTTGCACAGGTGAGAAACACATCAGGGTTAGAGAACAGGATGAAAATGAAGACTTCCTCCTTGGTGAAGGAAGAAATTTTAATCCAAATAGACACCGATTGAAACATGCAAATAATAAGCCAACTCTGAAAGCATTTGATTATGTAGAAGATGAAATTGAAAATGACTGACTATATGGTTTTCAGTTGTAAATATTAAAATATTTTAATACAGTATTTATTATAAACCTCTAGACTTTGAATATTACACATTTCTTATTGAGGAATGATTTTTGTAGCTAAGTTACAGTGCAATTAAAAAGTAGATCATATTGACCCACATCGCTAGTTTGAGAGAATACCAGGGGCTCTTTTGAATGAAACCAAAAATAGAGATGTCTCTAACATTGTTTTGACTTTATGATTTTACCTCTTACGCCAGCTCTGTAGGAAGTTTGACTTCCCTGAAAGTCACCGTTCATTTTCTACTTTTACCCCTATTTATTATTGTTCAGATTTTCACTGAGCTAACTGTTCTTTTCTCATTGACTGTCGAGTGGAATTGAGCGGAGCAAATCTGTGGTGGGGAGTCTGGACCCTTACTTTATGGACTCAGCCTGGGAGGCCAGGCTGAGCTGCTCAGGAATGACAGCGGTGACTCATTCCTCTGCGAATACCCACAGTTCACACCACTCACTTTCAATCTCATCTCTGAAGCTGCTCACCTGCAGCACTGCGAGCACCTCAGGCTGGTCTCAGATGCCTTTTTGTTTGTGTGGATTGTCCCTTTGCTGCGACTCCTGGTGTGATTCCTGTCCTTACTCTAATACATTCTTAGTATCTCAGTGGTTGAGTGTAAGACTTCATACCAAATGACAAGCCATCGAAGAAATTGCATCTCAGTAGAGAAAGATTTTCAACTCTATTATGTTTCAGGTAGCAGCATACTTTGATCGAAGTGTTTGAGACTTGGGGATTCTTCCCTACTGGGGAAGGCAGATAATTTTCTGTTGAAATGCACTGGTTTCCTTTCAGCTATTTGTAGTTCACTTCAGCTGCAAAGGAATGTGTGGGATATAGCTGGTCTTGAAGAAGCAATTATGCACCACTAGCTAAGGAGTAAGCACTGTTGAATGAAGAGTGACAGCACTTGTCCAGAAGAAGGAAAGCCTAGAGTTGGCACTTTAGAATACTAAGGGGAGCTATTTGAATTGGCTGTTTTTGCTCATGGTTGGATTTCTGATGCCAATCATATATCCTGATGAGGGGCAAGAGTTGGTATTTTATCTGCATTTCTTTAAATGCTTATTAATGGATCTCATTTCATGGCTATTTGATAATACTTACCTGGTCAGACCTCTAATTAACATATATATCACTTGTCATCTATTAAATGGTGTTCTTGTCATTTATTAGGAATAGAATCTCCCCAGAGTGTTAAAGTGTTACTAAGAAGTTTTGACAGCTATATAAATATTTGCTATAGCAAATCATTTGAATATATGTAAACATATTATTTGTAATGCAGTGTGTACTAAAATAATTATGTATTGTTAATTTGTTCATAGATGCTTTTTTTGCTGAAAGTGTTCTAATTTTAGGTATTTTTTAATTAAAATCTTTTTAGGAAAAAATATCCAGATCAATTATTCTCATGCTTTTGTCTATCTATGGTCTCCTTAACTGATGTAACAAGACAGAATTATTAAAATTAAGCCTAAAATTAATTCACAAGCTGAAAAGCATTATTTTGTTAAGTTTGAAAATTTGAGTTTAAAATGTAGAGAATGGGTTTTTTAATGAACAATGCTTACAGATGAAAGTGAACCATTTTTTCTAAATGGCAAATTAAATTTATTTGTACTCAGAGCTCTTATTAATAAATCTTTAAAACACAATCTGACTCTTCATTTAAATAATACTGAGATTACTTAGCTTATATATTAGGAACGGGAACAGCAGAGTTAATTTTATTTCATTATTCCCATTGAGTTTTTGCTGTCCAGTATTTTTAGTTGAAGTAGGTGAATCTGCCCTAAATCAGGTTAGTATGCTAGTCTTATCAGATAATTATAGTTTAATTAATCCTTTCACCTTTAATAGCTATCATCATGGCACATATTGCATTGGATTAAAAAGAAAGGTGAAGGGGATTAAATTGAATCATAAAATAAACACAAATTTATTTCGTGGCTGATCCACTTTTTTGGATCCTTCTTTCGTTTTATATTCAGCCATACAGCCCTCAGCTGCTGGTGCTCCTGCTGGAAAATAGGACCTGCAAGTCTGCTTAATGAAAAGGGAAATGGAAATTTGTATCCTATTGACCATAGGAATTTCTTAGAATTAAAGAACATACTATAACTATCAACAAAGAATACTCTTAATACATTTTTACTTCTCTACTACACAATATATGTCCATCATTAAAGTATCCTTTTATGTAATTTGAAATTGTTTTTTTTTGAAATTGTTTTTTATTAAAGAACAGGACTCAAGACACTCATACACAGTGAAGCCAAAAGAGGACAGTCTTGGCTGAATAATGCCAAATTGTAATACCCAAGCACCTCTTCATATGTATGTAAAGTAATACAGAGACTAAAAGAACCCTAAAGACAAGGAAACAAAGGACTTCTTAATTTGTCCTATCGTTTTTTTTAGCTGGCTCTGTATTCTTTACCTCACATCTGGTATAACACGTGCATATTTGAGGGAAGGTGGGAGCAGAACACAATCGGTGGAAAGTGGTGAAAAAATACAGCAGCACTGGACATGGATGAAAGTGAACTAAGCAACTCCAGTGTGGTGATGGGAGGGGGGGAATGAGGAGGAGGAAACAGCTGATACTAAGCAAAAGGAAAGAAAAGTACATATCACCCAATTTGGAAGAAATAATCTTATTGCTAAAGTTCATAGAGTTCATAAGCTTTGTAGATTAGAATGATGATGATTATCATTGTGGAGGTTAAAATGCCTTTGTGACCTTAGCTAAGTATAACTATGCCACAGTATTGTGAAACATATGTAGTGAATTTCAATAAGTATTTGGGGGGGGGGAGAAAAAAATGCTCTCATTAAAGAACATAGTTGTGTATGTGTGTGTGCGTGTGTGTATGTGTACACACATGTTAGTCATGGGTCTTGAACTCAGGGCACTGTCCCCAAGCTTTGTTACTTAAAGCTAGTGCTCTGCCATTGAGCCATAGCTCCACTTCTGGCCGCCTTGGCAGTTAATTGGAGATGAATCTCAGACTTTTCTGCCCTGGTTGGCTTCAAACCTTGATCCTCAGATCTCAGCCTCCTGAGTAGCTAGGATTACAGGTGTGAGCCACTAACACAGCTGGTAGAGCTTTTCTGTGTTTTTTTTTTAAATTAAAGACTTGGGTGCTCCCGAATACCTGCTACACTTTCTGAGTAGCAGGAACTGGAGAAGCTGCTGGACCGGGCTCCATCTCACAGTGCGGGTATGGTCAGATCCTGCTGTCCATGAGTTTCCATGATCTTGTGTAGTGCTGCTTATGGTGGTTTGAAATAAATGAGAGGCTTAGGTTAATGCTTGGTGGAATGTCTGGCACATTATCAGTATTCAGTAAGCATTAGCTGTTATCAAGGTTAATTATGAGTCTCCTTTTGAGGAGTAAATGAAAACAGAGCAGGTGTATGGATATAGGCAATGCATTGATACTATAATCGGCCCAAGATGCAAGCAGGAAAAGTTCCCCAAACAATGATGATATCCATAAGTGTCTCTTAAAGATATTGTACCTTGTCAATCTGCACTGACTTCCCCTTTATTGAATATTAAATGCACAATGAAATGGAGGAGCTCTTCCACCAGAGTAGACAATAACTTGGGAAAGATTTTTCTCAAGATAGGTTCCAGAGGTGGGACTTGGAGCAGACAGTGAACAATCTAGAACACACAGGGTATATAATGTGTCTCTCAGAACCCAGCTCTTGCACAAGGTGAGCACCTGCCTCTGCAAATCCTTCTTACAAAGCCAGGCCATCAAGAGTACATACTATGTGGAGGTGGTATCCATCCAATGCATTAATACACAAATAGTGCTCAGAACCAGAAGCACTCAAGCGTCCACAGCTTTGTGGGTGGTTTTGTAAAAAGAACCAAGAAAAGGGAAGGGCCAGCTGTGTTTGTTGAATGTCCAAAGTAGCAATCAGTGTTTCTATGTGTTTTTCTTTCTTACACAAAGCTTTTGCCAGATAGCCAATACTTTACCATTCCTTCTATTATACTGTCAAGACTAAGAGATGATAAATTATAGATTACCCAGTTGGTAGATGGCACTCAGCATTTTCAATATAAGAAATCTAGCAAGGGGATGGGAAGGAAAACCTGGGAGAGGCAAAGGCAGGGTGACATTGTCCAAAAAGAGATGTACTTGTTTACCTGGCTTATTATGAAAGGGTCACCCATCTGTTTATCACGTTGATAATAATTTTAACAAAAGAAATCACAAGAGTGATTTATCAAAACAAATAACAAGCAAAATAAGGAAATTACTTTGAGATAACTGGAAAACTCCAAAAAGTATACTCAGAGCTCTTACTGATAAAACTTTAAAACACAATCTGACTGTTTGAATGATATCTGAGATTACTTAGATTGATTGAATCTGATGGTTTAATTAGTAGTGCTTACTCTTCCCACCTCTTAGCCAAACTGGGTCTCAATTTTCAGATAAGTGATTGGGAATGACATCATTGGCACCCTCTTATCCACCTCAACCCTTCTGCTGGCAGTGCCTCAAAACAAATCTAGCTCTGGCAGAAATCTAACTGAGCCAATTCATGCGATGTGAAAGGAGCTTGCTCACCTTTCTGGCCGGTGGCTCTGTGCAAAAAAGAATGGAGTTCCCTGCCCTTTACCCTGCCGTTTGTGGAATGAATGCAATTTCTGTGGGATGGGAGAAGTATGTTTCCATTGATGAAGGTATTTTGGACATACAAAACTATATTTACTGTTATCTTCCAATTAAAAATTTGTAGTGAATAGTTCTTATGGAATAAACACAAGTTCTTAATGTAATAAGCACTGGTTACTTATTGAACAATCTTTATTTTCCTAAACAAGATCCTTGGTTGAAGCTGGGTTCCTCTGTGAAGCTCATTGGTTGGCAGAGAATGATCTATGTGAGCGCTAAGAGGAATATGGAAAGCATTTGCATTGTAGCATTCAGTGTGGGGAAATGCTAAGAGCCCTAGATAATATTTCCCCACACTGAATGTTACATTTATGAAATCATGTGTCCATGCATGAGGGAGCATTCTCAGCCTCAAGATCACAATTAGAAATTGACAGCTTAGCTGGGCGCTGATAGCTCACACCTACAATCCTAGCTACTCAGGAGTCTGAAACATGAGGATGGAGCTAGCCAGGGTAAGAAAGTTCATGAGACTCGTCTTCATTTAACTAGCTGAAGGCTGGAAGTGGAACTGTGGCTCAAGAGGTAAAGCACCAGCTTTGAGTGAAAAAAACAACATTCAGACTGAATTCAAGCCCTAGGGCTGGCACACAGAGAGAGGTGGGAAGGGAAGAGAACAGGGGAGGGAAAA